CCCAACCCTTACATTTATGGAAGGTACTCGAAACTTCGAATGTTATCCGGATTCAGTGTTAGATACAGGAATGTTATTCATAGATTTGGATTATCAAACTATATGCTTATCTCCAGCAAGCTTCGAATTCACTGTCCATGATTAGATTTAGGGACATTATCTACTTGAGTTCAAGTTGTAAGAAGTTCGAGCATAACTGGAGATTAGAAACTCAGTTTCAAGCTCGAGCCTAACTTAACAATCCAGAGACAGTCTTGAGTTCCTATCGAGTCGAAACCAAACACAAGGTTGTTTTTACTTTATAACAGTGTCACACTGAACTCATCCACGGACAAAAGTTACAAAACAGCTGCATGGTGGACAACCTGGGAACATTGTCCATTCCTTTTTCTGTAGGCCTAACCGTATTAGTGTCCAAGCAAATATTCTACAGACAAAAATCATCTGCAAACGTTATATATATATTGTGATTGCGGGTATAACGGAATATTAGAATATATAACTTGATGTAAAATTTTTGTATAAATTGTATGCAATTCGAATTTAAATTATACGGACTAAAAATTTGTGAAATATTTGTGGAGGATATTTTTTTTCTCTTTTTTCTTAATGGGACTAATGAAACGTGGTCACTGGTCTTGTCGTTTGGCAAATGTTACAATTTGGAATTTGATATGTGCTTAAGGTTTGAACATTATAGTTGGAACAATTTTAATATCAAAAAGAAAACCCAACGTGTCATGTTCATGATGTTGGTCCAACAATATTATTATACTATCCACTATTCATATGAAAAATAAAATAAATAAATAAAATTCGATTGGACTGCATAACAATATAAGATTTGGTTGGATATTTGCTTCCAAGCTCTTCTTGAGGTCCAAATTCACACATCATCTTCATTTATTTATTTTGTTTAGAGTAATGATTGCTTCCATGATCAATTTTAAAAATGTCATATTATTATCCGATTATAAAATATCAAAATTATCGATTTTCTTAATAATATAGAGTTATTATAAGATAGTATCCAATTATAATTTTTTTAACCATTAATAACGTATAAAGCTTCTCGAACGCGAGGCTTTAAAAGATAACAATACTCTTTTTAACCAATAACATCACTCGATGGTTCTAAATTATCGATCTTTAATTCAAATGGTTTGACCAACTGTGAATATTTTTTTGTTAATGCCATTTTCATATATTAGCTGTCTGGGATGGAATATTTTAAAATAGTTGTTCAAACTTCCTACAGCTTAAAGAATTCTTTGAGGAGTCAAGACAAGGCTGCCTCTCATGTTAAGTAAAGTATCATTTTCAGACAAAGAATGTTTAATTTTTTTTCCAAATATTACAACTATTTTTCTTATTTTATTTCTACTTGGTGTCTTAATTTTAATGGTCCTAATCGTTTTTGAAATTGACTATATATATATATATATATATGGGACAATATCCAGTTACATAATGTAAAACTCTTTAAGTTTTACACATATTTATGATCGTTTGATGAGTGAAAATAGATGATCGAGATTGACTTACTTTGTGTAAGTGGATCCTAACCCTATATATATAATCTACTTACGTAATATAAAAATTTTAAGTTTTATACGTTTTTAATATCGTTTGATAAGAAAAAATAGACGACTGAGATTATACTTTTATTTTTTAGTGAATATATTCTCATTTTCTACTGTTAATCTCAATCGTATATTTTCACTCGTAATGATCCTAAAGACGTGCACAATCAATTATTTGATATCAATATCTTAAACCATTGATATTCAAGCAGCACACACCGTGAGGGGAACAAAATTGCTGGGCCAAGTTGGGACGAAAAGGATATTCAAGAACCCACATAATGGCCGCACCTTTAGGAACAATTTAGACAGAGGAAAAAGTGATGGAGTAAGTTAGTTTATATGAACCAATCGAGTTAAATTTGGAGTTGGATTATAATAAATAAATGCTTGTTTTGCTTTTTTATGTAATTTGATGTGCTCCGAAAGAGAATCCAAGCTCGGATGGTGAGAGTAAATCCCACGTTGTTGATGCATATAAAAGGATGTGGCCAAAGCCAAGTTAGGCCCCATTTTGTTTGTTTCCATTAACTGGCATTGAATTTTTCATGGTTGAAATTATACCATCGATGAGCTGTAGCTTCCATCTTATTATATACACACATACATGTACGTACAAGCAACATTCATAACTTATTTTATTAGAATTCCATCATTTTACTTTATAAAAATTCATAAATTAATTTATGCATATTGTTATATCATTGAAGAGGACCTCTGGAGAGTTCGAGTTTCAAACCGACAATCAGTCAATTATAGTGCATAGATAAATTATCGAGTGGCTCACGTCATTTAAAGTTTGGCTCTCAGATCTACTTAATTTATCGACCTACGAATAGTCATGATGACCCTACAATTGACACACATGCTAAAAGTAAGTATATGTACGTCCAATCAAGATTGGAATGGAAAAGAACCGTCTATTACCACGATCAACTCTTTTTCATTCTCATGATAACTCATTTTCTTTTTCTTTTAACTATCGGTTAAAGGATTATTCTCTCATTGATTGTGATTCTTCTCCCAAATCGAAAGAAAATGAAATACCTACGACCGATGAGCTCAACTTTTTGTCACAACACATGTAATATTATTTAGATTAAAGTGAAATTTGATTTTACTAATTTTTTAAATAAAATTTAATAATATTCGATAAAAACAAAATTCATTTGTATAGCGTAATTTTTTTAATTTTATATATTTTTAAGATATTTGGATAAATAAAAATAAACGATTAAAATTAACAATAACACTGATAAAATATACAGAAAATTAGAAAAATGATCTTAAAATTCTATTTTCACTCATTTAAAAGTACTCAAAATATAAAATTAAAAGTTACACAAAACATTATAATTTAATTCTAGATGAATGAATACGTAACGTACTAAAAAGACTACGGAATCCGTATATGTATACTTGTACATATATTTTTTACGTATTTTTGATGCATTGTCTGTCATGTGACTGACGCCACGCCAGGCTAGCAATCGCCGCATGATTGAACATGGGTCCCACTTTCTCTGCCCTGGCAATCCACCACATGCCCATGCACTCTTTCACCCACCATTTCACCATTCTTCTGTCCTGCCCTCTTACGTGTCATTCTTCCAGCACACTTTCACAAAACAAAAACAATAGCAAAACTCATCTTATCAAAGATATATATATGTATTTATAATATATACGAATTAAATAATCTTAATAATTAAAAGATTATTATTATTTTTATATATTTTGAGTTTGAATATGATTTTTTATAAATTTATTTGAATAATTATTATTAAATAATTTTAAAAAATTTAAATATATATTATATTATAATTATTTGTGATTAATAATATATATATATATTTACATTTATATTTATAATTATATCTAAATATAAGAATCAAATTATTTTAGTAATTAAATGATAATTATTATTTCTAGAGATTTTGAGTTTCAGTATGTCCTTTTATAAAGATGTTTGAGCATTTATTATCAAATAATTAATAGTCTTTGTAACAAATATTATTTTATGTACGGTGCAGGGTTATTTTTGTAAATATATACCAAGGTACATTTATTTTAAAAGGAGATGTAACCAAAACCTATAAGACATTGAATGACAAATCTAACGCCGCCCAGAGCACCGATGACGTAAGCACATTGCTGAAACTCGTTAAAATTCTTGTGTTCTTTTCGTTTTCTTTACCCGATTATTCAACAATAAAATATAAAATATATCACTATTTAAAATATATTATTGTAATTATTTTTACTTAAGAGATAACTACTGATTAATGGCATTTTAATAGGATCTTTATCATTTGGATAAGTACTTTCGTAAAGTATTTGTTTATCATTTGTCTACTTTTTAATATAAATTATGAATATATGAAAATTGTGTGGATTTAAATTTTTTATTAATATGATAATTAAAGGTTAATATTTAATATGTTACAATGTATAATTTTCTAGGCTTAAAGTCCTCAATTTTTCAAAAACTAATTACATCTTAATATTTGGATTCCTCGGATTGTTGATTTAAATTAATTAAGTTATTGAATAAAGGATTTGTTTCCATTTAACTCTTTGATCAAATTTTGAATTTATGAATTTTTTTCAAATAAAAGTTTCTATTCAATTTATAAATTTTGAAAAAAAATAATTATAGATAACATTATGATGTACTATGCAATATTGGTTAAACTAAAAAAATTATTAAAAATTTAATAATTAATGTTGTTTTAAAAGATAAATTGATAAAAATTCAAAAATATAATTAAATATAAAACAGATTAACATAAAATTAATTGACTTTTTCTTAAGAAAAGGGAATACTTTTCCTTTTATTATTATTCTTTAATAGTTTAGATTGATTACAAAATAGTTTTTGTTCGGAATATTCTTTTAATTAGTGGCAAAAAATATGCACTGTGCAAATACTTCTGTTCGAACTTAAGTATTATAAAAAGAATAATATTTTTTTAACCGAATAAATATTTAAAAAGTGATCACTGTTATATTATCTTTAAATATATTAAATTTTATCAAACAATGACTATGATGTATAAAAATTACCAGATTCATATTTTATTTTAATAAGATTATTTTTGTATTAACATTTGTTTAAATAAAATAATAAAATATAAATTTTTAGTTATAATTTTTTCACTTTTAAGTTTAGGTAAGTTATTTAAATTTGGGGAAAAGGATGGCATTTTACACTCTGTTCATCAAAATAAAACAAGTATTTTTTGGTTACACTTCTTAATATTATTCGTTCATGTTAAGTATTATATAACAAAAAATACAATTATATTAAGTAAATTAGCTCCTAATTAATTAAAATTCATTAAAAAAGAAAAGGAATTCCTGCTTACAGGGAAGTCCTGTTTGCGTAGTTCTTTTCTCCTCCCTCCTCTCTCTTCTTCTTTTTTTTCTTTTTATTTATATTAGGGTTTGGGTATATCAATTTTTCTTTTTGATTTTTTATATTCACTACTTCGCCTGGCTGGTAATCTATTGCCGAAGACGTCGACATATGAAGATGCCAGTAAGTACGTTTCTTTGATTGATTGCTGGGTTTTGTTTCTTTGGATTTAAAATGAAAATTAAATCTTTGATTAAATTAAATTGTTTAGAAATCTAATTTTATGAATGAAATTGACTGCATTTCTGGGTTTTTTGTGTTATTGGATTTGCTCATCATCAGTGGTGATAATTCAACTTATATATATGCATACATGGATTCCCTCCTTGTTTGATGTTTTGTCTCTTTGAATTTTAGACTTTTGGTTTCATTAGATTCTAAAACTCCAGACTTTTCCATCATCCATGTATTTAGAGTAATGAGATCCTTCCTTTGACATTGACATTTAAGATGTTTAATTAGTTTTCCCAATTAATGGTTGCTTAATTTTCTGGTAATTCCTTAATTTTAGTCAAAAGTTTTAGATTTAGTCATTTTCATCCTTAATTACCTTGATTTGTTTGGGAATTTGTTTTAATGGTAATGTGTCTAATGTTTATCTTTTTGGCATTACTTCATTACAGGGGCATAACTATGGGGTTTTTTTTGTGCTTCTAGTATTCGTATTTTTTGAGATGTTTGTACACAATTTCGATACCATCTACTATATATCATATCGATATGTTCTCGAAGTTTTCTTGCATCCTTTCAATGCGAAATTTATTCATCTTTTTCATGTTTTAATTGGATATTTTCTCTAGCTTCACTATGTAATTTCATGGCGTCGTAGGTGGCGTTGCTGGTGCTGCTGGCATTGTCCAATGCGATCGAAGTCAATGGAGGAGGGAGCAATCTTGGGTGTGACAATAAGCTGGCATTGCAACCGAGACCCCATAGTGTATCCATCTTGGAATTCGGTGCCGTCGGAGACGGCAAAACTTTGAATACCATTGCCTTTCAAAATGCTATTTTCTATCTCAGGTCTTTCGCCGACAAGGGCGGTGCTCAACTTTATGTGCCTCCGGGACGATGGCTTACAGGAAGTTTCAATCTCACTAGCCATCTCACCCTATTCTTAGAAAAGGGTGCTGTAATTCTTGGATCTCAGGTATTTGTTTTGCCCGTTTCTTTGTCCATATCTCTATTCACATGTTTTACAGGGCGATTGTCCGATAGTCCAATAGCAATAATACGTGTTGCTAGATGCAATTTTTAGCTTTGATTTCTTTGAAGACCTGCTTTTCTTTCTCGTTAAGGATCCATCTCACTGGGGTATTGTTGAACCCTTACCATCATATGGTCGAGGAATTGAACTTCCAGGAGGAAGGTATCAAAGTTTGGTGAATGGCTATATGTTGCGTGATGTCATAATAACCGGTAAGGTTCCCTTAACTTCATTTTCGCTCATGCTGCCTTGGTTGTCTAAAGATAAACTCATGTTTTCCTTTTGCATTAGGTGATAATGGAACCATAGACGGGCAGGGCTCGGTTTGGTGGGAATGGTTCACATCTCATTCTTTAAACTATACTCGCCCTCACCTTGTAGAATTTGTTTCCTCCGAGGATGTACGTGTTTCAAACATTACTTTCCTGAATGCCCCTGCCTATAACATTCATCCAGTCTATTGCAGGTTCGTTTTAATACATCTCTGATTGCTGAGTTCGTTATTTAAACTTTTTTTTATCCGTCGATAAATGGTGAAGTTAAGTTTCTATCTGCTCGGAATTTATGCAGCAATGTACATTTACACAACATAACAGCCTATGCTCCACCAAGATCACCGTACACCGTTGGCATAGTCCCAGGTTTGCGATGTCTAATATCTGATTTTGTTCATTTCGAGCACCTAAGCTGCATTCTGTTCGAAAATTGCTTTCGCAAGTGCTTAAATCTTCTTTTTATCACATTATCCCTCTCAAAAACAACAGTAACTATAGGATTTGTTTAGTTTCTTTTCCAAAAGATTACTGAATCAGTCACTTATCATTTGCTTTCAGATTCTTCTGATAATGTTTGCATTGAGGACTGCAACATTAGTACGGGCCATGATGCGATTGCCCTCAAGAGTGGCTGGGACGAATACGGCATTGCCTATGGTAGACCTACCACAAATGTCCACATCCGGTCAGTCCACCTTGAGTCATCTACTGGTGCGTCTATTGCCTTTGGTAGTGAAATGTCAGGAGGCATTGCCAATGTCCAAGTGGAACATGTCTATCTCTACAACTCATTAAGCGGTATAGAATTTAGAACAACCATTGGCAGAGGTGGTTACATCAAAGAGATCATCATATCAGATGCTGACTTGCTGAACGTCAACACGGCATTTGTTGCCATTGGTGACTACGGTACCCATCCGGATGAGAAATTTAATCCCGATGCTTTCCCGTCTATCAAGAAGATCACACTGCAGAACATCACCGGTAGAAAGATCAATGCTGCAGGAAATTTCACGGGTATCAAACATTCTCCATTCAATTCAATATGCATATCAAATGTATCTCTATCAATCAGTCCCACCGGTTCCATTCCTTGGACGTGCTCAAATGTTTCTGGCTATTCCGAGTCTGTCTTTCCAGAACCATGCGACGAGCTTAAGAATGTGAATACATCTTCATCGTGTTTCTCCATCTTGATGAATCCCAACGGTGGAAGTGCTCCGGCTACTGCAATCTTACGATAAGTATTCCTTCCTACTAGAAGAAAAAAAATCACACCTGAATAAATCGGAAATCTCCATCTGTCAAATTCTTTTCAATAAGACACGCGTCTAGAATACCTTGGTCCGTTTCGTGTCGGTGTTTTAGCTTGTCCTGCAGATTGTTTGTACAGCTTGATTTCTTCATTCTTGTGTAAGGAAATTTTTGTCGTCGGCGGCTAGTACAAGAAAGGGGGAGGGGGTTTGGCTTATTTTTCAGTATTGGTGTCTCTTGAATTCTTTTACTTTCAATGTTTATGGCTTTGATCCAGCTTCAATCACTTTGTATAATCAATTATTTTTCATGTGGATTGGAATTTGCTGAATCAAAAAACAGTAGATCAGATGAGAGATTCAGAGGGGTCAAATTGAGAAAAATTGTCAAATTTGGTTCATTTTATTAAATTATTTTATTTAAATCTATTAAGTTAAATTCATATTTTATTCATGATTCTGAGGCAAGTGACAAATTTTGACCAATTATTTATAAAGAAAAAGAGATTCCACTTGGCATTGGATGCCTTTGCTTTACAGCAGAGAAAGACAAAATAAAACAAAGGAAAAATGATTAATCCTACTTGTCTTATCTAATAAGAGGTTGTTGTGTTGCCCTCAAAGCTTTTTTGTCTTTATAAATTTATATGCAATTTTAATCATTTTAAAAATTAGAGAACCATAAACTAGATCGATGGTAAAATTACATTTTTAAACAAGTCCAACATAATATTGTTCCATTGGCTGTTCTCACCAGACAGACAAAGTTCCTCCAAGAATTGGGAGGGGAGTGGGGCGGAAGCCACTGTGCCGGATCTAACTCGACGGTGGTATTCGCCGAAATCACATAATGGCGCAATCATCCACAGCATAACAAGCACTAACGACCAAATCAGGTTTATCCACATGGAGCTGGTTCATCCTCCCATGTCAACATATTCATCGTCCCATTTGGTTTCAGGTTTATCCTTTTGAATGTATAGGCTGAATCTCATCCTCTGCAACATTGACATGATTTCGTTAGAATGCATACACATACATATACAGAGCATGTATGTGTGTATGTCAAGCAGCAGGTCAAAAGAATTCTAAAAATAAAAAAGGCATAGTATGACAGATTCTTCAATTAAGATTGAAAATGCTAAAACAAACAAACCAAGATTTAGTTCTTGTCAACAACTTAAAGTCATATGAAACATGAATTGAATCGGAGCTGTTTAAGGTGATGTAGGCCTCTTTGGACTATGGGGCTACCGTCAGGCAGCATGATTTCGAGCTTATCTAACATGGACTCGAGCTGAGCTGAGCAATATCTCGCATGCATCAGCAAATCTGTATAGGATTATGATACATTCACACAAAGTAAAACTTTGATAGTTTTACATAGATTTAATACCGTTGGTGATGTGATCCAATTCAGCATCATGGATATTCCACCCTTACCAGGGAAAAGACTTTCTAACTTTACACATATATATGCTTATTTCAAATATTTTAATATAGTTATTTTCATCTACATATATTATATCTATAGTTATTCTGAAGATAACTTATCCATTAATATGTGAAATATAAGTTATCATAATATACTATAGTTCACATTCTTATATAATACATTATATAAGTTCATTTACTTTGTTTATTTCTTTAAGTTATGCATGTAGGCACATTCGGCCAACACTTCGGAGCTACATTGGAGCTAAATGGAGCATGCAAAAGCAAGGATACTTACATGGGAACGATTAGGAGAGCATAAGGAGCAAATTGGTGAAAAGTTGTTTTGAGGCCGTGAGCTCATAGCTGGATTGAGCTGAAGATTTGAGCTACAAGATGACCTCATTTCAGCTAGGGAGCTGCACCATCATCATCACCACTTAGGACACTTCAAATATGTCCTAAGTCAAAATTTGTGAAATCGTACCTTTTCGCGAATAGTTGCTAAATCAAGAGGTACCTTTTCACAAGGAGCTGCCATAATGTTCACCATGCTACAAGTCACCTATGGCCAGCTCACCTTTAGCTCATTCACACCATAAGTAGCTCAAACATGAAGGGACACCTTTCTCAAACATTGTGACCTTTCATGAATGATGCTGCCCATGAAGATGCCTTTACATCCAAGAGCATGCTGATGAAGACATTGTAATCATTGGAAGTTTAAATCACCAAGGAACATGATATAAAGCTCCATGCCTATTCGGCCACACACATGCCATGCACATGAGAGCTTTTGGCGCCAACATGAGAAGTCACAACACCATTCGACCAAGGGAGATGTTTCCTCATCATTGCCGAATTATTAAGCCCCTTCATGAAGGGTTAGCCGATCCATCACAAGCCCAAAGGACTTAATCATTCATTTTAAGCATTATGTACTTTCATCAAAAGCCATGTATCAACTGAACAGCCGTGTAACCATTCGACCAAGACCTCTCATTTCCTATAAATAGAGTGGCTTGCCATCATTTGTACTCATCTCATCTCTTATATAAAATATACTCTTGTGAGTTACTTCTCTTCAAAGTTCTTTGTGAACTTTATCGATTAAACAAGTATAGTTCCTATACTTGTGGCGTCATTCCTTCTATCCTGATTCCAAAATTCCTAGATTAATATCTAGTGAAGACACTATCACCACCCCTCAAGCAAGTTTGTGAAGACCGGGATTATGCTCCTTAGCACTATTTCATCTTTGGCGTGTTTGAGATACAATATCACCACCATTGCCATTCCATCATCAACATCATCCATCAAAAACCATCAATTTCCTCAGCCATCTCTATCCCATCCTTATTTAATTTCATTTCTTATCTTTATTATTTCATTTATTTTCCTTTACTAATCATATTTCTTTTCATATCTATGTTGCAACCAAGCTTTTAATTCAAGGGCATCAGTACTTGTCAATCCTAGATCGGGGCACAATAAGGCTATCTGCATCTCTTCCATCAAAGCGTGTAGATCACCTTACATCAGTTGGTGAGATGAAATAAACAACTAAGATTAACTCATTTTACTAGTAAATATATTCACATTTCTTATGGTTAATCTCAGTTGTTTATTTCATTTCATCCCTCTCAAATCTGAATAAAAATAAAAGTTTTTTTAAAAAAATAAATAAATAATTCAATTGTAGTAAATTAATTTATAAATTTCCACATGAGTAAACATGAATATTTATTTTGTAAAACTAGTAATATAATTAATAAAATAATTTTAAATCATATTTTGTATCGGATATTGTATGATATTTATGCTTTTGACAATTTTAATTTGTTCTAGGGACTCTTCCCCCTTTTCGTTGTCCCTATTTTGTTTCGGCTTAATCGAGTTATGGGGAGCTTTTAACGAGGTCCTTTTACTTCCAAAAAGAAAAAAATTAAATTCATATTTCCTTAATATAATTGTTATTTATGACATAAAATTATAAATTAAAAAGTCGTTTAACAAATAAACTAAAGGGTAAAATAAAATATAATAACAAAAATATTCTTAAATTCTTGAAGAGATAATCACTACTTCGTTGTATAGTAATCGTTTATTAATAACTCATATTTAATCAACGCACATAACAAGACAAGCGTTAGTTTATATTATCTATAAAATTAAAGTGACAATAATTATATTAATAATAATAGATTTGTGCTTCATGTTGGTATAACTTGGATCGTACCCTTCCCAATGTAGTTTTACTATATGCTTTACAAGATCTGCTCTCTGCTCCGTGTAATCGTTTTCCGCTGAATCGTAGAACAGTAAACCCATAGAGGAAAGCGATACCGAGTCATCTCGGGACACAACGAGTCGTGACGGTAACAACAATGCTGTCCTAGGGGTTCCGAATAGACACTCTCAGGGTTCATCAAGGATGAAACCGATACAACCCTCCCGGTCAGCTTGTTTCCGAGTACTTTGAGCATATTCTACCGTGTACTTGAGAGTTAGCATGTCATTCTGCATCTCACTGTGCTTTCTCTGGTAACCTTGCATCCCACAGATTCTGGTTCTGGCATCTCAATCTCCAGCTTCAATGACATACGAGAGTTGTGATTGATTACCATCGAGCAGGTAGCAGAACGATGGCCTGCCCTTCTGAGGCTTAATGTCAGAGAGTTCACTGATCCTCAAAGCTACTGTTTCCGGTTAGCGGGTACCAGCATCATGGTCTTGAAATCACCAAACTCAACTGCTACAACTCCTTAGCTAGGTTGAAAATTTCTAACACGTTATTACATTCAAAATTTTAAAGTATTTTCATGATTAAAAAAGCGCTTGAAGAATCACATCCTCGTATTTATATTCAGAAATGCGTCGAATGTGTTGCCAAAGGCAAGCGTCAAGTACGATAAGTCCGGTTTTTCAACAGAAGGCAAACCTCTATAGCAAATAATGACGTGAGATTATTAAAAGCAACTTTGATCTTCAATACTATATAAAAAGCAAAGCATAGATATAGGATGAAGTTCTTCCATCTTTTCATTATGCACAAAAGCTCTAAATACAATAAGAATGCCCACGGATCTAACCCGTTACCGTTTTGGAGGTAGGGTAGAAGGTCTTCTTTATGCTTTACTCTCTCGGACCTAACATTATATTGGCATAACCACTACCCATGCACCCCCATTAGCTTATAAGTTATCATCAAGTATAGTGGACATCAACAGCCCTTGGATGAAGTCGCGTCTCCTAGCCTTTTCCTCGTGATCCTTATCCGAAATTTGGGGCTGTTGAGGCTTTCTGTCAACAAAAATAAGTGTTAGAAAGTTGGGATATCTGCATAAAATATGGTTAAAAGTTTCATCTATCAATAGCAGTGATCTATGTTACTCAAAACTCGGATATCTATTTGAGATAGATAAGTTCACTTTTTGAAGATTTTCTATTTATCTGAAGAGTTTTGGAGGGTCATATATCCCTATACTCTTGTATGAATATGCGTCGGACATGAATGCTTCAAGGAAAATGAAGAACCTAAGCCAAAGCTACCATAATCTAGTGATTTCTGAGCCATAACAATAAAACAAACATAGTGTAAGTCATGACATTTCCGAGCCATAATGAATTCACTAAAAGTTGTTCACTAAAAGGATCATAGAGGACTACAAGCAGGCCTGTCATTTTTCGGAGATCAGACAAAGAAACAATAGACCAGAACTTTTACCTTTCCGAAGATTCTTTATTTACGCTTTCCTTTACCGCACTTGCTTCAGCAATAGGAAGAGGTTGCAAGCTTAAAGGGTCATCACCTGGAGGACTAAACATAAATGATGACAATAAAGGATCGGCTTCAATATTGGAGGAAGAAACAAATGAAGATCCCCCAAGAAGGGCCTGCAAATTTCCTTCTCGCAGTTCTTTTCTCAACATAGAAAATGTCAAATTGGTTCCACCCTTGCGTAATCTCCGCCTGCGCTGCACGTAACGTCCAGTCAAGGTATAACCTAACTGTTAACCAAGGAATGCTTACTCACAAATAAGCAAGAGACATTCGAACTTAAAAATATGAGAACTGAGAATAACCTTTTTAACAGAACAAAGTATAAACTCGGTCGCCCTAAGGACACATACAGTTTGATTCTAAAATAAGAAAATATAAAAATAAAACCAATGCTCATAAATAACCTTAACGAAATCTACCTAAGGACACGTACAGTTTGATTCTAAAATAAGAAAATATAAAACCAATACTCATAAATAACCTTAAACGAAATCTATCATGTTTCATGTGTTGTCTCACCGTGGCCCGCATAGTCAAGCACCATGGTTAATATGAAAGCGGGTAAAAGTGTAGCCTTTTAACATAAACACATAAATACTTTGATGGTTGAACCAGATCTACATGGAAATAGTATTATTTAACCAGCATTGACATCAGAAGCAAATGATAGATAACAACTAAACCCGGCCAAACAAAATCTACAAAAAAAAAGGAGGATATCTTAAGAAAATTCCCATGTTGCATAGTAATATGGCTGACAATATCAGTTCCGACCCTCTTCGCACACACTGGGCAAACCTGAAAAGGTAACATCGAACCAAATACATATTAAGTAATATTCAGATGCAATTCTCAAGCAATATCACCTGTCTAGCAAACCAACAACAAAATCAATTGGCGAAAAAGAGCATCAATGCCTGAAGAATCAGACCCCAACAATCAAATTAAAGCTAAGTAGCTTAAAACGCAACATTTATCACTCAAGCAGTAATAAAATTCACCAATAAAGACGCATAGCTGAGAATATTATCAAAAGTCTTATAAAACTTAAATCCCACAAGAATATTCTTTTTTTTGCAATTATGAACTATTCGAGACACATTTCTTCTATTTATATACTTCAAAAATCCTAAAAAAAAAATAATTTCATCAAAAGAATAAAAAAAAGCAGATTCTTGTTGAGAATTAGGTAAAAGAGGTACCCCGTTTTTGGTTTCCACAGGATGTTCTTCATCGATGTGGCAACAAAGGCCAACAATGTCGAAATCCTCAGCGCAAAACGGACATAAAAACTGCGCCTTGAAATCCTCATCTCCGTCAATTTCTTCATAGCCTCCTCCCAGAAACAGATCTAAAAAAATCATCAAAAAATTCAAACCATTTTCATTTCTAATTTTCTCGAGAAACAAACAGCCAGATACTAACCGGATCGTGATTGGCGACGCCTTGACGCGGATGAAGACGAAGAAGAAGAAGAATTGGAGAAACGAAAACTCCATGAATTTGACTCCATTTTCCCGAGAAAATAAAGCAGCTTCTTCTTTTTCGATCCAATTATTTATCAAACTTTTTCCTTTAAAAAGCCAATCGATACATTTATTGAAATGAAATAACAAAAACAAGTCCACAAAATTAACCAAAAAATAAACCCTAAAAAGATGGAAGAAACGATCAGGGAAAACACCAGAGAGAGAGAGACTGTACAACGAATTTCTGCTATATTTTATGAAACAACTTGCTTTTATTTTCCATATTGCCCCCTTAAGTTTTGTTGAATTATGGAAATGCCCCCTACTTCCATAACCATTTAACCAACCACTTGATGAGAGAAGGATAGACAGTGGTTGGCGGCTGTGATTTCATTACTGGACGTGGAGTTAGTAACGTCACGGAGGAATTTAATTGGCTGTTGGTTGAAACGCGTTTTACTGACGTCGTTTGTTCTGGACTTTCCACGTGTCCCGCGGGAGCTGTCATTTTTGATTTTTTGTTTTCGGTTGAGACAGCGAAGGTTGATTGCGAATATAAGGGTGTTAAAAATTAATTGGTATAATCGTTATATTTAATAAGTTAATTAATTGAATTGTTAATATTAAATGATTTTAGTTAATTGAATTGTTAAAAAGAATAGTTAACGGTTAAGGTTACAGTTACGATTACGGTTATGAATTTTGATAAACGGTTAATCTTTAATAAATTAAATTTATAATTATATTTTTAATTTAAAAATAAATAATATAAATTTCTATTATTTATATTCTATACAGATTTTTAATAAAATTTATATACAAATAACTTAATATATTTTTTTATTATTTTAATTTTTTATTTCTTTAAAAATATAGAAAATATTTACATTAATATAATTATATGTTTATTGTTAGGAACTAAAATATTGTGAGATATACATACTTACATCAGTATAAGTATGTGTTAAGTGTTATATTTTTTATTTTATTCACTTACACCGGTGTAGTATGTGTTAACTGTTACACTTTTTGTTTTATTCACTTACACTGGTGTAAGTATGTATTATGTACTACATTTGTTTATTTTATTCACTTACATCGATGTAAGTATGTATTTAGTGCTACAATTTTTTGTAGTATGAATTATGAAAAAAATTGACAAATAATTGTAATAGGTTAAACGTAGGTTAACCTGTAACCGAACCGTTAATAACGATTAATCATTAGCAGTTAACTGTTTCTTAGTGGTTAGGTTACGGTTAGAAAAATCTTATAACTGTCATAATGGTTAACCGATCATTTAGGCTAAACGGTACGATTAACCGTCCATGAATAGCCCTAGAGATATATTGAAGATTCGCTGGATAAATATTTATAAAGAAAATACCATTAAAAACAAGGGTAAAGTACACAAATAATCCCGAATATATGATATTATTTTATTAAGTCCTCCGAATATTTAGAAAGTGTTTTTGATTTTTTTTGTTTGATTTTGCTAAGGTGATTACAAAGTAATATCTATTTTAAATACTCTCAATCATTTGACAATAAACGCCTAATCACCCTACTACAGTTGTTGATATTCAAATCTGTGACCTAAAGAAATAATAATATTTTTTTTAACTACTTAAGTAAGCTAGTTCGTGCAATTGTAGAAAATGGAAATAAGATGATCCACCAATAGTATCTCATGTGCAATTAAACAATTTAGTGATTTCATAAATCCGATCCATGGTATGTAGCTATAAAAAATGGGTTATTCTGAATAGATAATAGAATATAAATCAGATTAATAAAATATTTTAATTCATTGAATCCAGTATATTTTCTTACAAATTTAAAATAAAATAATAATGGATTGATTCACTTCTAATTTAAGATGAGTAAATGTTTATCTTGAAATTTATTTTTATTTTATTATTTATTTATTTTATTAATTGTATCTGATAATTACATCGAAAAATCACTTTTTTAAACTTTAATTACTTGTCAGACGTCCTTTGATCTTTATTTATCGATCTAACACCCTTTGTAAAAAGGCGCGCCCCTTGAAGCGCGTCTTATGATGACATGGATACGCGTTGGCTAAGGCGCGGTTCCTGGGGCTCGTCTTATGCTACGTAGGAGTATAGCGCGGTGCGGGGGCCGCGCCTTCCTGCAATTATGACACGTGTCAGAAAGACGCGCCCCTAAAGCGCGCCTTTGCTTTAATTTCGCATCCACCCCGGCCGTTCACACCCCCATTCCCTCCCTATAAATACCTCAATTCTCAATAACTTTCATCACATCAAATCCTCTCAACTTCTCTCAAATACTATTATATTCTCTTATAGCTCTTTAAGGTATATTTTATTATATTTAATATTTTGCCTTCACCTTGAATGCTTTCTTCCATGAACTGGACGCGATGTTGTCATACGGATTGTTCGTGGACCCACCTCGATACAGATCGTAAGGAGTTATTGATGAATGTCTCCTCGTTATGGTATTAAAATCATTACACATTATTGTAGTTGGGCTGTCAACTTGATCAACTTGTTCAGCCTGCCCATAGTGGGAGCTTAATGACAGACCCCGAACAGCAAACACTTAAACAAACTTTGCATACGTCTTCGTATCAGCGACTGAATAATTACTTAGAGAATCAACCATCATTTCAACATCATCATTGTTCGATAGTTCGAACGCTGTATAAGTTAATGACAACAATGATATTGGAAATCTGTACTGCAACGACGACATTCTTCTAGTACTTCCAACATGAACCTTCCTTGAAATCTTCGTTATCAACTCCTCAAGAGTTATGTTTCTCTTGAAGGATATTTTAACATAATGATTTGATACAAAAACAACGTCAGTTTCATCTTCTCGAATTTCTCCATCATAATAAACAATAGTTGAAATTCGCGACATTCTTAGAGTTTGAAAGTGCGACAATATTATATCTAGAAAAAAAACCTGAACCAAACCTAATTAAATAAATAATATATGAACGAAAATATAACACAATAATTTTTTTACATATAAACGTAAATAATTTAAATAATATAATTTTATATTATTACTGTATCGGTAAAAATATTTTAATGTATGCTCCCGCTTTCCAATTTTACAACCACAAAAATTAATTGAAAACAATTAATACACTATTTTTTTTACAAATACTCATATATAATTATAAAAAATATTATAAAAAATTGCCTTATAATGAAAGATCGAACGAATTTCTGAATCAAATATAAAAGGATTGTCGTGTGTTTTTACTGGTTGACAAGATTATTGTAGTAGTTTCTCGGTTGAGAGGGAGTTGTGAGAGAGTTTACGGGGGAGAGGGGTATTTATAGCGGAGAGGCGATGCTTTAAACCCGAGAAGTGTGGATGCAATTATGCAAGGCTTGCTTTAAACCCGAAGGACTGCGTAGAACCATCAACTCTTGACATGCCAATTATACCCCTAGCTCTCATATCACATAACATGTGCTTTACCATTTATCACAATTCACATAACTTATATCGCATATACATATAATCTTTTAACTTATTATGACGTAGCTCATGTAACATTATTGTATGGTCTCATAAATAATTGTCATATAACACATATCGCATATGTTCATATTACATAACATGTAATGCAAGCATGGTATATTAATATATACATGTAATCACATAGCTTGTATCATATAACTTATCATTTATTCTCTTATGTTCACATATCAACCCATATAACTTAAGCATGTACTCATATACACATTTTAATATAGTCCGTATATCAATACAATATAGCTTATCTCACAGTTTTATATAATCACCTATATCACATAAATTTTATACTAGTTTCATATATCACTTAGTTCAGCTTCACATAGTTTGTTACCTAGACATGTATTCTCATATGGTTTCATATATATTTACCATACAACTTACTTACATGTTTGTATAATTACTTATGTCAGTATCTCCTAGCTTATATCCTATTCTCATATTATCATATATATCAATGCTACTTAACCTATCTCAGTCTTCATTTAATCACATAAGTTAATTATATCAGTTCACATAGATCTAATTCATATAATTTATACCTTATTGTCATATATTCACTTAGATCATTATCACACAATATAACTTATGTTATATAGTTCACTTAAACTTAGAACATTTCATAAGATTCATATTCACACGTCACATGTTTACATAATTATTTAGGTCAATAACACATAGCTAAGTGGTTCATATCATATGGCTTACATCTTGTTCTTTTATCTTCTCATAGACATATAAACACATAGATCCTTATTACATAACTTATATTACATGTTCATATAATCATTTATATCTATACCATATAGTTTATATCACTTTCTCTTGTTATTACATAAGTCATTGTTATTTACATAATTCATAATCATATAACTTATATCACAAAATCACATCATCACATAAATCATATCACATAGCAAAGAACATGACAATATATATTCACATACTAATAGCTATCAATTATACTAATATTCATGCATTCATAAACTCAAAACATGGAAATAGACTCATCGCAAGTCTAATTTCCATATAATCATATACTATAATCATATGTACTCACCTTAGCCTCATTAGTCCAAGCAATACACTTATCTCTTTCTTGATCGATCTTATCTCGTTGACTCATCCGGTACTTACTTTCGTTTGATATCTACATGATACATATAGTTGATATGAATGTCTTAATTCGAGTTACTATTAATCAATCGTATATAACATAAGCTATACAAAGTACTTAATACACAATTTCCATATGAGTAGTATCGGTACCATAGGTACAATATCGATACTTTTATACTATGGTATCGATACTATACTTCAGTATCGATACCCAATTTCGATTCTGAAATTCATATTTAAAATGGTACCGATACTTGCTAAATGGTATTGATACCCCTAGTATCAATACTACTCATTCGATATTGATACTTCTTAAAGATTCAGTCCATACTTACCTTATGGTATCGATATTGTTCTTATAGTATCGATACCCCCAAACCCAAAATTACCTATTTTCACTCTGAAGTATCGGTACTTGATGAATAGTACTGATACCCCCTTGCCCAGAACTTACTTATATTACCCGAAAATTTTCCAAAACTTACTAAACTTCCACTCTTTTAATTCCTTTCAAGTCATTAAACTCAAATATACTTATTAAAACTAACTTATATCATTTAAACACCCTCAAACATCCAAAATCCTCATAGAACACTTAGAAACAAAAATCACACCAATTATTCAACGTGTTCTAAATTTATTTCTAACACTTTAAATTTCTTATTCTGACTGAGGACAAGTCAAATTTCATTTCAAAACTCATTTACTAACTCTTTCTCAACAATTCACTTAAAAACTCCTTGCTCTTAATTATTCATAACTTCTTCATCCTTTGGTTTTAATAAATCTTAATCTTTCCTTAAGCTTTCTTAACACTCCAAAAATCAAAACAAACTTTAAAATGAAAGAAATAATCAACCTGGAACCAACTTACCTTACTAATGGAGTCACTGGAAGAGAAGAAGAATGAGATAATTGAACCCAAAGCTCTCCAGATTTTTCTTTCTCTTTTCATCCTCAATCCCCATGTGTATATATATCTTCACCAATATAATTTTTAAGTATATTCCTATCAAATGACCATTATATCCTTTCTACTTTCTAACTTTGTTATTAAATCCAACTCCAAGATACTTCAATTAAGTCCTTAAATTTTTAAATTTTTTGAAATTGGTCACAAAGTTTCAAAATCTTATGTTTTAGTCACTAGCCTGGTTTTTGGGATGTTACAAGGTGCCCAACGTATGTCTGTTTTTCCAATTTAGTGCCTAACATTTTTTTCATTCTAGTTTGGTGTCTAACGTTTCATTTCGTTACTCAAAATGGGTCACGCCGTGACGGACCGTTAGTTTTCTCCGTTAAATGACACGTGTCACAATTTGGTAATTTTAAATTTTTATTTAAAATTAAAAAATTAAAATTATATATTTTTAAAAAATAAAACACAAAAAATTTGAAATAACCCTAAAATTTTGAAAACCTTCATTGCAACCCATTAACCTCTAACCTCGTCACCGAACCACCATTTTTCGACCTGGTGGTGGTGTACACCGCCGCTCCCGCCGAACTCAGCAGCAACTAGCGATCTCAACTAAGCCCTCATATCACTTGAAATCGATCACCGTCAAGCTTAATCGCAAAGAAACCATTCAATCGTCTACCTCCAACCTCAGCCACCATTCGTCGGGAGTCATCACCGTCTAGCCCCAGTGGAAGCGTCGTCTCAGACTGGTCATAACCCAGTCATCCAATCGCCTCAAGTTGCCGTCGTTCGTGGTGGAGTGGCGTTTGAAAGACCAACGAAAAGCCCATCACTGTTCGATTTTTGCGGTTTTCGGCCGAAACCGCCGCTTTTTTGCCTTACCACCACCGAAGCTGTGCTCGTCGGTCCTGTCCGACCAAAACCCAACCGATTTGGTAAGCCATCATCACCGAGCGGACGAGCTTGGAATAAGGGCGACAGAACGATTTAGGGGTTTAAATGAAGGTTTTTAAAGTTTTGGGGTTATTTCAAAATTTTAGTTTTTTTAAATATATTATTTTATTTTTAAATAATTTTTTTAAAATTACCATATTATGACATGTGTCATTTAAAGGAGAAAACTAACGGTCCGTCACGGCGTGACCTATTTTGAGTAACAGAACGAAACATTAGGCACTAAACTGGAACGAAAAAAACGTTAGACACTAAAATGAAAAAACGAGCATACGTTGGGTACCTTTTGTATATTTAAGCCTAATATATATTTAAAGATAATTCTCAATCACTTGACATAGAACACTCATATTTTTAGTATTTTTAATACTCAAACTCGAGATCTCAAAGAATATCAATAATTTTTTATCACTAAAATCATTTAATTCGTGAAAAAAATCTAATGAAATGTTAAAATCATTGCATCCCCCCCCCCAATTTGTAAGAGTAATTCAGTCTTTGGGTGGTTTTGAGTAATTTTATGTTTTTCCACAATGAAAATCCAATGAAAGTGCAATGCAATTCCCCACTTGGGTTTAACTTTTTCCGCATTAGAGAATGCAGAAACAGAACGGAGATAAAAGAACAATGATGAGGGGAAAGCTATGGATTTTTTAAACAACTTTTACCAATTTAATCATTGAGTTTATTTTAATTCATACTCCTTGTCTTATTTAAAAGGTGTCTTATTGATTATTTTAGGTCTTTCTTTTAATTTCGACTTTTATTATTTAAAATTTATTATTAATATTACAAAATATATTTTAAAAATATTTAATTAATTAGTTTCAAAATATATATTTAAAATTTACTTTTTTAAATATTTAAAACAATCATTTTTAAAATTTTCGAATGAGAGACACTTTCAATAGAATCGAGGTAATATCATTTTTTTAATTTAATTTTTTAATCTTTTAAAAATTGTGATATTATGATTTGTTTAAAATAAACATTTTAACTCTCACAATATTATAAAAAAATATTTTCTTATTATATGTTTAAAATAAGGGTAATCTATGTCAAATACCACTCATCTTTATACTTGGGATCGAAAATGCCACTGACGTTTAAATTTTACCAATTTTAGCACAGACGTTTATGTTTCACTTCAATTTTGCCACTCCGCCGTTAATCCGTTAACGGCATGATGACATGACGTTCGAATGCCGTGACGGCGATGACATGGACTGTTTAGTAAAACGACGTAGTTTTGCCAATGACTATTTGTATTCCTAAAACGGTGTAGTTTTATAATTTTGTGTTTTATTATTCCCGAAACCCATTAAACAATTTATTAGTATTCCTAAAAAAAATTAAAACTTTGTGTTGGTTTCCCAAATACAACCCATCAGATGAATGAACCAGAAGTTTTCGTTCATTTGTACTCCAAAATAGTCTAAAAATTCTCTATCATTGAAAAACATTTCCTTCATTTCATCTGTCACTGCAAAAGCAAAATGAAGAAACGATTCTTGCGATCGAAAGAAATGCCGAGCATGAAATACGGTAATAGCGTTTGAAAAGCCACTGACGTTTTTTTTAAGATTTTTTTGAAATACTTTTAGAGATTTTTCTGAAATACTTTTAGGGTTTTTTTATGAAAACACTTTATCTCTAACTATTTGTTGTTTTCTTCGTTATTTATGTAACTTAAATATGGTTTTATTTCTGTTTTTGTATTCCAAAAGAGTCTAAAATATAATTGTTTTTGATTTCCCACATGATTTTTATTCCAGTGCATATATAATTGTATTTAATGCATAGTTGTTGTATTCCAAAAGAACTGACTGTTTTATGGCGGTGCATATCAATATAACTATTTGTTGTATTCGAAAAGAGTATAAAATATGATTGTTATTGCTTGCCCGCATGATTTTTATGCCGATGCATATGACTGTATTGAATGAATAGTTTATCCATATAAATGTATATTGCTGGATGTTGGGTATTTTTAAACTTTTTTTATGGTCGGTGGTTGTTGCATCAAATTTGCTGCATGTATGATTAATTGTTCTATAGTTGTCATCAATAGTGGTCCCAAATTTTAGTTTTTTACAAGTTAATGATGGTCCGTCTACTGGTTTTGTTTGCTATCAGTGTTGCAAAAGTAGTGTAAGGGGACCACCAGTATTGTAAAGTTAATTTTTAATGCTGACTGATTTTTTAATGCATTTTGACAGGTAGAGAATCTAAATATTTCACAATTGTTATGCACCATGGTGGTTTTATGGTAAATTCATCAGGTTTTAAATACACTGGAAAGGAGGTAAGTTTTATTGATATGTGCCATGTGGACAGTATGTCAATGCTTGAAATGTATGATTTTGTGGAAGAGTTAGGTTATTCTGGTTTGTGGAATTTGTTTTGGAAACAATCTGGGCATAAATTTACTGTTAAGTCATTAAGAACAAATTGTGATATCATTAGCATGTTAGAAGATATGCACATGAATAGGCACATTCATTTATACTTAGAAGAAAATGAAGCAAACTTCTCGAACGAAACCACTGAAACCAGATATCATAATACAACTGAAACTCATGAAACTGTTATAACTGAAATGCATGAAACTCATGAAACTTATGAAACATTCATGACTGAGTTAAACTCTGAAGAAGATACATAATATGTTGCTGATGACACTGATTCTTCTGTAAGTGGTTTTGAATACAGTGAAAATGATGTGAGTGAGGAAGAGGGGTCTGTACATGAGGTACATGTGGGTGTAGATTTTGAAAGAGATTTTAATGGGTTAAACAATAGAGATGAGGGAAATATTAATGCATCTTTGAATGATGAAAATGAAATTGATGGAGTAGAGTCATTGCATACTGAAATTGAATTTGATTCTGAGTCTGACTCTAATGGTCAAGGAAAACATAGATGTCCTGAGTTTAACGATGAAACTGATATGAAAAACCCACAGTTTAAAGTTGAAATGATTTTTGGTGATAAGTTGAAGTTCAAAGAGGTTGTCAGGCAGTATGGGATTAAGAATAGGGTTGATATCAAATTCAAAAGAACTAACAGGGTTAGGGTGCATATTGTTTGCAAGGAAGGGTGTCCATGGTATATTTGGGCATCAAAGGTTGATCGAAAATATAAAACAACACCTCATGGCAGATTAAGTCTTATGTAGGAGATCATAATTATTTGATGGGTTTTAAAAATAAAAATGCAACCTATAAGTGGATGGCTAAAACATATCTTAAAAAAGTTAGGGCTAATCCTCAGTACCCAATTACAACTTTAAGACATGATGTATTAGAAGATTATGTGTATAAAGTGTCATTGAGTAAATGCTTGAGAGCTAAGTACTTAGCTCTTGATATGGTCCTTGGGAGTCACAAGGGTCAATACTCAAAGATATATGATTATCTTGGAGAAATAAGGTCTTCTAATCCTGGAAGCACAACCATTCTAAAATTGGATAATAGGGTGTTTGAAAGAATGTACATATGTTTACAAGCATGCAAAGAAGGTTTCAAAGATTGTAGACCTATAATTAGCATTGATGGTTGTCACCTTAAGGGCTATTATGGAGGTACTCTTTTGGCTGCTGTTGGTATTGATGGTAATGACATCATCTATCCAATTGCTTATGCTGTTGTTGAGAGTGAAAATTAATCATCTTGGAATTGGTTTCTGTTACTGTTGGCAACTGATTTGGAGATTGAAACCTCCATAATATCACATTTATGTCAGACAAACAAAAGGTAATTTTGATTTACCCTTTAATTAATTATTCCTTTCTATTATGAACAATTTTTTTAATACTTTGTATCTTGTTTTTTAGGGACTGGTTGAGGCAATGATGCATGTTTTACCTAATGCTGAGCATAGGACTTGTGTGAGACACTTGTACTCCAAATTTAAGAATAATGCTTAATTCAAAGGAAAGAACTTAAAGGATGCACTGTGGAAGGCAACTAGAGCTACCTACAAAAAAGAGTTTGAAGATGCAATGGATAAACTGAAAGCATTATCAAAATCAGACTTTGATTGGTTGAATGCAAAAGACCCAACCCAATGGTCTAAATCTCATTTCTCCCCAAGGAGTAAATCAGACATGCTTCTCATCAATTTGTCTGAGTGTTTTAACAAGGTAAAATGAATAAAATTATTTAAATATGATTATATTATAATATGATTATAAGCCATTTTTTGGTTCTGTTACAAGAAGATCCTGAAGCTCGCGATAAACCAATTTTGACTTTAATTGAGATGATTAGGACCAAGATAATGGAAAATTTTGCCAAGAAAAATGAAGTTGCAAACAAGTACACTGGAAGTTTGTGTCCAAGAATCCAAAAGAAAATTAAACTTGCAATTCAACAATCCACTAGGTATTGTTAAACTATTTATTCTTACTAATGTGTAGGTACTGTTAAGTTTGTTTACAATTAAGTTATTTATTCTTGATTCATTTTTATGTGTAGGTGCTGGCCTACACACGCAGGAGGTCAAAAATATCAAATGTCTGCTGGACCATCTAACCAGCATGCTATTGATTTAGAAAATCATTCCTGCTCATGTAGGAAGTGGGATCTCACTGGTTTGTATCAAGTGTCTTATGTTACAATATTGTTCTCATTTACTTTATTAATTTAACCACTTTTATTTCTTTCATTGATAGGAATCCCATGCATAAATGTTGTTTCTGTAATGGTGTTAAATAATCAAAGGCCTGAAGCTTATCTTCACAACTCTTATTTTGTAACCACTCAACGAGAAATTTATAGTCACTTCATTCAACCCATGAGAGGCCCCAATCAGTGGCTAACTGACACCACTTATGAACCAGTTATACCACCAACAATTAGAAGACCACCAGGAAGACCTAAAAAAAGAGGAGAAAAGAAGCGAATGAGCCTACAAATTCTCATGCTACAATGAGTAAGAAAGGTCTGATGATGTATTGCTCCAAGTGTGGTCAACCAGGACACAACCAAAGGACTTGCAAAGGGATAGTTGGAGGCAACATGCTACCTAGGCGACCTAATTTCAACTCAACAAGGGAAACCAATGAAATAAGGGTTGAATCAAGGCACATTCGGAGAAAACTACATGTATATATTCTTATTCTTTTTTAACCTTATATCACAATTACAATTATGTTTTAAGATTTTGGTACACTTATGACTACAAGTTAGGAGAAGAACTACAACAAGGATTACACCATCATCAAAGGCTGCAACATCATCACAAGCTGTAACATCACAACCACCACCATCATCACAAGCTGAGCCTCCATTTGTCTTTATTCCTACTCCAGGCCACACATTTTATCCAACCAACCAGCAAACAGAAAATGTAATGTTAGTTAGATGGATGCCACCCTCACAAGAAGATGTAATTGCCAGCCAACAATTAAGCCAGTTAAGCACTATAACCCAGACTTCCCAAGAACAATGTTGAACTGTTTTTGCAAAATTACCAAGGATGTTATAGATTGATATTCTCCAATTTTATTTGGATGATTTCAGAACTTAGATACTTGGGTTGATATTTTGGATTGAATACTTAAGTTTATGAACTATGCTTTTGAACACATGTGTTTATTCACATTGATATTTTGTTTCATATTTTGCTGGGTTTTATAGGTTGATACTTAAGTGCTTATGTGCACTTTATGTTGTTGTACACATGTGTTGATTATCAACCATAACTCTTATTGAATGAAATTTATTTTGTTTATCATTCATGTTTGACATTTTAAACATAAAAAACTGTAAGCATCAAAGCACCAATACACCAAGTTTTTTAACAAACAAAGCTCAGTAGCTAATTTTATAAAACCATCTAACAAGCACCATTATATTTAACAAGCACAAACCCGTTAATCCTAAAATTTTCACCCTCAATTTTTCGTCCCATTACAAACCAAAATGTACTATCATCACAAATTCCACCCTAAGTATTTTTCACCATCACCATTTGTTTTATGTACTAACCTAATACAAACCCTAAAATAAAAACACCCCAAACAATTCTCTCATTCCTCATCCTAATTTCAATTGCTTTGATTTTCTTCAACAATCCCACAAGAACAACACGTGCTCGTGGAGTCATAAGAGGGTCAAACCAGCAAAAAAATCGACAACCGAATACAACCAAACTCCCATAGTTTTTACAGCCAAAAAATCTTCTCCCGGGATTATCATTGGACCATGATGTCCCCAGTTGAGCCGGATATCCACACCCAGAGACTGGATATGCAAGGGCTTGCTCCATTATTCTGCTTCTTCCACCGCCGAACTTCTTCCTATTTCTTCTGTTGCTGAAAATAAGAGGAGAAATGAAGCAAATGGGGTAATATAGGGTTAAATTAGGTATTTATAACACAAAATACCAATCAAATGCCAACAACGATCCTACGTGGACTAAAAAACTTTAATAAACCGTCAATGTCATCGCCGTACACGGCATTTGAACGCCATGTCATCGTGCCGTTAATTGATTAACGACAGAGTGGCAAAATTGAAGTGAAACATAAACGTCCGTGCTAAAATTGGAAAAATTAAAACGTCAGTGACATTTTCGATCCCGAGCATAAATATGAGTGGTATTTGACATAGATTACCCTTAATATAAATATTTAACTCTTATAATTTTATAATATAACCTCTAACAAGACTCATATAATCTGTAAGAGTCAAAATCAATTTATAAACGATAACATCAATCAACTCTACCTATTCTTTCAATATATTGGTAAACTATTATAACTCTATGTCTAACTGTAACCCTTACAACTCAAATCGAAAAAAGAGATAATCTCTCGTTCATTCATCTCTTATCTACCTCATAAAACATAACATTTTAAAATTAGCCAAAGATTGTCTAGTTACTGATTGTAGTTCCGCTTAAATTAAAAGAGATGAATCGAGTATAATCGATTTAGCTCATTTGTTTACAACAATAATTATTGAAGTGAACGTGGATAAAATAACCAATATCACCCCTACTTCCGTCTAAAAATTATTTTTTTGATAATTTTATGACCTTTTGTTTTTCGAGTGAAAACGGGCGTGTTAAGAAGTGACGCACTACACTGCAACCCACGGTCATCTTAAAGGTGGGCCCTAATTTGATGACGTGGACATCTAAAGCTGGACAGTGGTCCCCTTCTTTCTTTGAAGGTGGGCCCTTCTAACACTTGTTTCAGGCATCTTAATTGGATATAGCAATAGTAGTTTCTCTTTTTTTTTTAAATTACAACCTACGGTCATCTATTTTAGAGATTTTTATACTTTGGTCAATCAAATAAAAATATTCATTTTAATCATCTATTTTGACACTTCTTTGAAATTGATTTTTAAGTTAATTAATATTTTTTAACAGTTTAAAGTGATTATAAGGTAATATACATTCAATATTTTCTTAGTCTTATGATAATACACATACACACTCTGTAAATATAATTTATTCGAATTAGAATCCTCCAAGAAGAATAATATTCCTTTTACCAATAAGACTATTCAATATGCTCAACTAATTGGTATTTTCATGTCAACTCCTTTGCATGTAGTCTTATGATGTATGCATACAATTATGGATAGGCATGTTTTTGATCAGCTTAAACTCTATTGAGTATTATATTTTTTATACGTTATTGATATGATTTAGGTTTAGGGAGACTTCGTCCAATTCTAAAAATTCAGTAAATAAGAAAACATAAAGAACATAAAGAGATTATTATTATTATTGCATTCATCATAGATTTATAAGATATAATCATCCTATTATCTCATATCAATGATTTTTCATTATGAACCTGTATTCAACTTCATGTTATATTTAAATCTATTTTTTTGATAAAGAACTAATCTTATAAAATCATTTCAGATCGAAATTTATCGTGGACCACATATCTTTGAATTTGTTGGGTTAGTGCAGAAATTTGTGTCAGGATATGTGAACATAAAAAGTTATATTAAAATTTTAAGGGGTGTAAGATTATAAAATCTCAAGGGGTGCGAAATTAAATAAGTCATATAAAATACAAAGAAAATATCTAAAATATAAGAGATTTTAAAAATTTTAGGAGGTGCGATCTTACCTCCTCAGTCCATCCCTGGTTAGGGGCATAGGGAGAATAAATATCAAGTTGCTCTCAAAATTACGATGGTTAGTGATAGAGTTAAAAAATATTTTTGAGGACAATAAACATATATATTAATAATATAAAGGGGGTGTATGACAAATACCTGATAGTTGGTAGTTGATTCCAGTAGCTGGTTTGATCAACTGATTTGATTAGCTAATTTGAGAAACTGATTTGATTAAATATTTATGTAGAAGTGTTTGATAAAATTTAGCTGATAGTTGATATGGATAAAATCACAAATAAGTGTATGATACATTTAGTTGTTAAGTACATATGTTTTATAATACTTTAGTCTTTATTGGGGTGAAATTATTCGGATAAAATTCTTTTGACAATGAATTAAAAATCCCTTAGTGAATTTTTTTTTGAAAATTTTGAATATATATTTTTTAAATTTAATATTTACAAATATTAACATCGTGAGATTGATACATATTATTAACCTTGTATAAATATCAACACTACATTTTTCTTTCATTCATGTTTTGCTATTTTTTTTAACTAAAATATTTGAGAATCTACAACTAAAAATAGAATAATAAAATAAAATTTCACTAAAAGATATTAGGATGGATGTTATTTCATTAGATTAGGTTTATGTCGGTGATATAATTATGAAAATAATAAAGTCAAATATGTCATTTAACATCTTATTTTACAATCAGCTCCCCAAGCCGTTGGATTTTTTAACGTTTTCATTTTCAGTTTATTTTGCACAATAAATTATTTCAAAAAGATGTTTACCAAATACTAAAAATGGAGGATTTCATTACCAATCAATTATTTATGCTCAAATAAACTAAAAATTTCTCAAAATATTATTTACCAAACCTCCCAAATATTTTATAACGCGAACACATATATTAATAATACAAATATATTTATATTATCATCCTAAAAATACAAGTGAAAATATAATTTTAAGATTAACTCAATAAATAAATAACAAAATAAAGTAAAAGTAAAGCTTTGTTATAAAAAATAAGTGTAATTAATTATAAATCAATTACCTTAAGTTAATAAGGTAAAAAAGATCTACCGTGTGAATCATAAGACTGCAAAAACAATATAAGCCAAAGAGACCTATATCTTCGAATTGGATGAACATGACACGTGGCAAATGGGGGGGGGGAAGAAAGAGATAAAAAGATAAAATTTTAATAACAGTAAAAGCTTAGTCAGTGAAGAATATAACTGGACAGAGAGAAAATAGTCGAACTGTTCACATCAAAATCAGAGCTCATTCCCCAATAATAATTGTAATTTGAATTAAACAAAAACTAAAAATATAATTTTTATCTATTATGGTAATTATACTAGTTAAAAATTATAAAGATAATTGGCTTATTTACAAAGAAATTATTAATATTCTTTTTAGGAAAAAATTATTGTAAAAACTATTACAATAAAAATAAAATTAAAAAATACATTAAACTGGGTTTTTAAAATAAATTATACAAAACATTTAAAAAAATTGGATGAGAAATTGATTGTGTAAGGAATAAGATAGAGTTTGTGGGCAGTTTTTTTTACTATTAAAAACAAAAGTTAAAAGTAAAAAAAATAATATATATATATATTTTAACTTCTGACATGTGCTTAGAGTAGATTTGGATATGTGGAGTTAGTTAACTTCATGTGTGTGCTGGATCCACACTTTTAAATAAAAAAAATTAAAAGAAATTTCAATGAATTATTTTATTTGAGGGAAAAAACCCAAAACTTAAAGACGAGACATGCAAATCTCTTCGTCTTCAATCTCTGTTAAGGGAAATTCTTTCCTTTTCACTTCAAATCTTTAACTTATCAACTTTGGGTTCTTTCAGTTTTCAACTATGCATCAAACTATCAATCTGCTTAGTTCTTGTATAAGCACGTGAAAACCAGCATCTTTCTGCAATTTTTTTCTCCTTTTTCTCTGTGTTGGAATTTGGATCAGGATTTTGAGAGATGAATACAAGTAGTGGAAAGGGATATATGTCAACAGCCAGCTCTAGTGCTGGCTGGAAAGCTGGAGGCGCTGTTGCTGCTGATCAGTTTCCTGCTGGTTTGCGTGTTCTTGTTGTTGATGATGATCCTACTTGTCTTATGATCTTGGAGAAGATGCTGAGAACTTGTCTCTACGAAGGTATTTCTTCCCCGGGTCGTCTTTGAATCTTTTGTTTGATTACTAATTTTTTATTTTTGGAGCCATGATTTTGTGTTTTTGATTTCTCGTTGTGAATTGGGTTGTTTTTCTTGTTCTTGATTTTGTTGAATTTTATTTCTGGAAAAACAAAAGGGGGAAGAAATGGATCTTTGTTTCCTAGATTTGGCAATAGTTTTTTTTAGTACTCTGAGCTATGATTTTTGTGTCAGTTTGTCTTGATCTTGTGGATATTTGAAACGCGGATACATCTTGTTTTAAGCTTTAGGGGTTGATTTTCATTTGATTTGTGACGGTTTTATTTTTCAGTTACCAAATGCAATCGAGCAGAGACTGCATTATCTATGCTAAGAGAGAACAAAACGGGTTCGATATCGTTATCAGCGACGTCCACATGCCGGACATGGACGGATTCAAGCTTCTCGAGCATATCGGTTTAGAGATGGATCTCCCTGTTATCAGTAAGCACACATTCTTATCATAGTTCATAGATGTTTGATATCAAGATATAACCTCTATGAATTCGAAATTTTCATGTGATTTCGACTTGTATTTTCTGCAGTGATGTCTGCCGATGATGGAAAGCATGTTGTTATGAAGGGTGTTACCCACGGTGCCTGCGATTACCTAATCAAACCGGTTCGTATCGAGGCGCTGAAGAACATATGGCAGCACGTGGTTCGGAAGAGGAAGAACGAATGGAAGGACTTTGAGCAATCGGGAAGTTTAGAGGAAGGAGATCAGCAGCTAAAACAATCAGAAGACGCTGGTTACTCTTCCTCGGCTAATGAAGGGAACTGGAAAAGCTCGAAACGTAAGAAGGATAATGAAGATGAAACCGACGAGAGGGATGATACATCAACGCTAAAGAAGCCGAGGGTTGTTTGGTCTGTTGAGCTTCATCAACAGTTTGTCGCAGCAGTTAATCAACTAGGCATTGACAGTATGAGTTTTTTATTCCATTTCTTTCGATTTTGATGAAATGCTTTTTAAATTAATTTCAAGCACTGCTGTCTTTTCTCTTGTATGATTTTTCTGGTTGATCTTCTAATATAGAGGCTGTCCCGAAGAAAATTTTGGAGTTGATGAACGTTCCTGGACTGTCCAGAGAAAATGTTGCCAGCCACCTTCAGGTAGGTTGCAGTTCACCAAATGCCTGAACTCTTTACTTGCCTGCATTTGCATTTTATAAATTCTGATTACTATTACGTTGTTATCTTGTGATCAGAAATATCGCTTGTATCTTAGACGGTTGAGCGGGGTATCGCCTCACCCGAGTAATCTGAATAACTCTTTTATGAGCCCCCAAGATGCAACTTTCGGGTCACTTTTTTCGCTTAATGGGCTCAGTCTTCAAACTCTTGCCGCCACTGGTCAGCTTCCTGCACAAAGTATTGTCACACTCCAAGCAGCAGGGCTTGGTCGGTCGACAGGTAAATCAGGCTTACCTGTGCCTCTCGTTGATCAAAGAAACATTTTTAGCTTTGAAAACCCGAAGTTAAGATTCGGAGAAGGGCAGCAACATGTGAACAATAATAAGCAAATGAATTTACTACACGGAATTCCGACAACCATGGAACCGAAGCAGCTTGCTGGGTTGCACCATGGTTCCCAATCAATGGGAAACATGAATATGCAAGTCACTTCCCATGGTCAGCAAAGTAGCCAAAATAATCCCCCATTGATGCAAATGGCTCAGCCACAGGCTAGAGGGCAGATGCTCAATGATTCCAGTCTCGGTCATGCTCCGAGACTTCTCTCACCAATGGGGCAGCCTATATTATCCAACGGATTTGCTGCCAATGTCTCTACAAGAAACGGAATTCAAGAAAATATCCGAGCCCCTAGTTATAATCCAGTTTCGCAGAACTCTTCAATGTTGAATTTCCCCATGAATCACGCTTCGGAACTACCCAGTAACAGTTTCCCTCTTGGAAGTACACTGGGGATTTCTAGTCTCACACCCAAAGTAGATTTTCAGGAAGATGTTAACTTGGATATCAAAGGATCAGTGGAATTCATTCCGAGTTACGATATATTTAACGATTTGAATCAACATGAGCCCCAAAGTTGGGAGCTGCAGAATGCAGGGAAGACATTCGATGCCTCTTGTCATTCAAACTCTCTTCAAGGCAACCTCGGTCACGCTCAATCAGTTTTAGTTCAACAAGGATTTTCGTCTGATCAAGTGAACAGACAGAACAGGAGTGCAACCGTCGTAAGCAAGGCAATGTTTTCATCAGGAGATATTACAGGGCACGTAAATGCTCAAAATGGTAATCAACATCTCAGCAAGGCAATGTTCTCATCCGGAGATAGATCAGGGCATGTAAATGCTCAAAATGGTAATCAACATCTCAACTCCCATCTCGTCGATGGTACCGTAAAGGTCAAGTCCGAGACCCCTACCAGTCTATACCCTGATCACTTCAGACAAGAGGATCTCATGAGTACTCTTCTGAAACAGGTTGGTTTCCTTTTCCTATTCATTAACGTACATGAATCAATGGGGATTGTTCACTAAACATTCGGTGTGTTTCATTTTCCTGGCAGCAAGACACGGTCGCATCAGCTGAACACGAGTTCGATTTTGACTGTTATTCCCTCGACAATATTCTGGTGTAAGGCAACTTCCATTCTCAAGTCCTCTTTGTGAATCAACGGGGATATTCAGTCGACACTAAACTGCATCTTCATTCTGTGAAAATCATGTTGTGCCAGTTCGTTTTGAACATAACAGGATTGGGAAAACGGATAATTCCGGATCGATCCTTTACCATTGGACGATAATTACAACGTTTGTAAGATACGTCCGCATGATACGCAAAGGCGATCATGCGGAATTTTTATTGCTTTTTCGGTAATGAAATCTTGTAGGAGAAGGGGAAAAAACTAACTTTTGGGTGCTTTTCTAAGCATTGTTTTTAGTCATGAGCAGATCATAGGAGACTTATTTTTCTAACTCTGATAACAGATGAAGTTTGATCTATTATTTTGGTTTCCATTTTTATATTTGTTGTGCACATTCTATCGCTTATATTCGGAATTCGTGATTGTCTTGCTCCCTACTACACTCAACTCGAACACCTATATCCGATTCTTTCAACTCGAACTCAATTTAATTCGATTATCTCGACTCGAACCCTATAGGAAAGTGTCACCATTCCATGAATATAAATGGTGGAATTAATGGGATTTCTTTTATGTCAATTTAGTGAAACATATCGGGATAGTTGAAACCTGACAATTCACCTAAGAATTATGAATACAGTGTCGTTGTTGCTAAAGAAAATTGTGGGTATTATTCCTTAAATTTTACTCAACACCATTGTTTTAGCAATTGTAACCAATGTATTCTTTTGTTTTTCAAAAGAACGGGAGTCGTTGAAATAAAAGAATCAATTTAGTGGTTACCACCATCATGTAAAGCGTTCGAGTCAGTTTGAATATTTTTAATTGTTTTAAGAAGGGTAAATTACGCGTTTAGTACCTAAATTATTATCAGTTTTTGTCAATTTTAGTACATAAACTTTCTGTTTTTAAAATCATGCCTAAAATTTATTTTTTGTTTCATTTTAGTACCCTACTGTAAAAAAAATTAGTTTTTGTTTTAATTTTCGTACTCGTTCAAAATTTAACGTTAAGTTTTGAAAAAAATTGAAAGTTTAGGTACTAAAACAGGCAAAAACTGATTACTAAACGTGTTAAGCTTTTAGCGACGAGTTACTAAAATAAAATAAAAACTAACATTATATATGATTTTAAAAAAATTGAAATTTAGGTACTAAAACAGGCCAAAATTAAAAGCTTAGGTACTAAATGTGTATTTTACCCTTAAAAAAAATATTGAGTGAACTTGTTTGTGGCTTGGTAAATCTCAATCTTTACCATACAATTCATCTTATCTCATTTGAGTCATCGTATTAGACCCTCGATAATCTCTTTTAAAAATCACGAAATCACTCAAAATTTTCAATTTTTTTTTGAACCTCAATCTACGCTATCTATTGTTAGATGACCTTTATATCTAAATATGTTCTTTCTCTTACCAACGACGGCTCCTCCAACGTTGAAATATCTAGGAAATGCACAAAAGTCTTAACAAAATTAATCAAGTGACTCAATTCTAACTTTTTGAAATACGATGACCCGTTTGTAAAGATACGAAAAATAAAATGACATGTTTTGTAATTTCACCAACAAGAGATTTAACAACATATTGACTTGATTGCTACACCGATTAATCAAATGGCTTGGTTATAAATTTTTAAACTATGGTGAGCTATTTACAAACCTACTAATAATAAAGTGATCTGTTTACATAATTTACCCTACATTGAGCATCATTAATTTACAAAGATTCAAGATGATTTGACTTTCAAATTGACCCATCAAAAAGAAGAAGAAAAAAAGAGAACAAAAGGGACCGACGCTCTTTCACGTTGTCTTTTTCTAGACATTTGGATTATCATTATGGTCACGAGCCACCCCTAGCGGGCCCCACTCCTTATATTTTGTGCAAAATTAAAGAAAAGGGCTTTGAACTCTTCCTATATTTCTTAAACCACCCACCGAACCAGCCTGGAAAGTTCGTCCATTTCACCTCCAAAATCAGCTTTACCGTTTAGCAGATGGATTTACTTAAATACCCATAGGTTTAAATCCAATTTTTTTTATAAAAAATAATGTTTTATTATTATTAAACTATTTGACGAGTTCTATATTTCAATAATAATTGAAGATAAATAAATATTGTATTTGCATTTAAACACGTCGCGAAACATAACAATACATTAATTAGTATGGTCGTGTAATTTAAATAAAAGTGTAAAAAGTTCATGGACCGGTAGTTTTTTTTATCGTATACCTAGTGACGAAATTCATCTTCATTCATTAAAGAATTCGATTTCAAAAATCTAAATTTATTAAAGATTTTAAAAAAATAAATTTATAAAAGAGTGATATATAAATATATTTTAAAAATTATTTAACATTTTTAAAAGAATGTCACGATTTCATTATTTAAAACGCATGTAAAATTTTATATTAAAAGAAGTAAATTTTAAAATATATTGATAAAATAATTTAGTTATATAGAAAAATTAAAATTTTAACGACTGTTATCTCAAATTCACAACACCTGATCGATCAAGGATGGATGGTGAGACGTCTCTCATTCAAAAAAAATATCAATTAAACTAAGGTAATTACAAAGTAATATCATATTTAAATATTCTCAACCATTTGATAATAAACGTTCAATCATCACGATACATCCACTAGTGTATGAACTCATTCCCTCCAGGAACCACAACAATTCATTTAACTACCGAGGTAAGTTGGTTTATGCTCTCTCCTTAAAAATTTCAAATTATCATATATATTTTTTTAATGATAATCTGTTTCCGTCCTATATGATTTTATGAGTTTGTCTCCATATTAAAATTTTAGAAGTTCAATCATAGGGATGATAACGGGTCGAGCTTTTGGTCAATCTCACCCAAAAAATATGCATCCTTCACCCAAATCCGACATGACCTGAAAATTATAAATCATCCACACGGCTCTGATCCTACTTGAATTTTTAGAGTATAAATTCGACTTGACCCGACCTAACTTGACTTGATAAAAAATAATAATTTAATTAAAATAATAATAATTTTTAAATAAATTACATTATTATCTTCAATCAAATTGGGATGGAGTTTTTTTACCCTTCACCCGAACCTGAACCCGACTCGGTCTCACACCTTCAAAAAGTCTGACCCGTCCCAAACCTAATTTTTTTTTAAATTGACCCTATTAAATCGAGTCAAATTAGAACCGTTCAATTTCAAATTAGTTATCATTCCTCTTTACTCCTAATATAAAATCATACACCCTTATCTATCCTCGATCCATCCTGCCATTAATCCCCGTTACGTTCGGCAGGTGCGTGTATCCTAAATAAGTCTCATTTATTCACATGGACAACATTTATGTCCTCACAGCACCTAATTTTGTTTCTTTCTTTGTTCTTATTGATAGGTAAGAGCAAGTCCACTCAAGGCGCAATTAATCACATTATTGCATGAAATCAAAGGTTTTCCAACATTTTACAATGGACCAATTGCATTGCTATTACCAATATTTAATTGTTAAACCTTAATTTATAACGAACATTAATTATTTCAAAAAATATAATAAATTAATAATTATAATATATTGTTAATCAATTTTATTTTATTTTTGGTAAAACAACCACGTTTATTTCGTTAAGTCTAAAACACCAGAACAATTTTACCACGGAATAAACGTGGTTCTTTTGGCAAACCTTCATCTTCTCACTATGATAAAAATCATAACATATCCAATATTAAACTAGAATATTTTTTTCTTAAAAAATAGAATAATTGTGAAAATAATTTATACATGCAATTTAAACCATATACAATTTATAATAATATAATAGTCAAATTCAAATGATCAAAAATTCAAAATGTGCTATTTAAATTCATTTGAATATCTTATTATTTACCAAAATTATTTTGTGTATGTTTTTTTTATATAAAACTATTTTGATTTACATTTTATATAACATAGTTTTATTTTATTTTAAATTAAATTTTAGTGTACTTTCGATATCAATGCGATTAGATTATATATAATAATTCATTTTGATTATTAATATTATCAGGGTAAAGTAAACAAATAGTCTCCCGAATATAGGATACTACCTTATTAAGTCTCTCGGCTATAAATGTTATAAAATTGTTATCTAACTATTCATTATATTATAAACTTATCAATTTTTCGCCAGAAATTTGATGATATTTTGAGTTGAACGTTAACATGCTTACTGTGATACGAAAAAAATATGATCTTAGTATCTCAAACGACTATCATATCTCAATTATCATGTTAACATCCAGTTTAGACAATTGACAAAATTTTTTTTTATAGAAAATGACGAGTTTGAAATATAATGAATATATGAGTGATCATTTTGTAACTTTTTATTGGTCAAAAAACTTGAAAAAAAAATTAACTTTTAATAATTATATACTTAATAAAACAATATTCTATAATCAATAAACAATTTGTGTAAATGAGAATTCATGAACAATAAAGAAAGCTACTCAATTGGCCAAAAGAACCACGTTTAGCTTGCGTTTTCTTTAGAATGAAAGGGAAATAAAATTCTAATAGAATGAAGACGAGTACTCATAAGTTTCTAACACATGAATAAAAAAATATAAAAGAATAAAAAATTTAAGAATATAAAAATAAATAATTTGATTAATTGACGAAATACAATTAAATATGACAATCGAAATAAACAATATTAAAATTGTCAAACTTAGTATATTTTAACTCATTAGCACGAATAATTATTATAAAAATATATACTTAACACAAACTGTCATTTATTTTTAAGGTTTGTTTTTCATGGTATATCATATATATTGTCATAACCATTTTTTTGGAAAAAACAATTAAATATTATTTTAAAAAATGATTATGACTTTTTATTTGGAAAAATTGATGATTTAGAATTGATTTGAATTAAATTGGAAGAGTCTCTATCGACCTTTGAGTTAGGTAGGTCGAATATCTAGAAACGTCTTTTTAAATTTTTTTTAAAGGAAAATCATTTTTTAGAAAAAAATCGGTATGTGTTTACCAAAAACTCGATTTACGGGTCCGGGAGTCGGTTACGCGTGGGGAAGGATTAACACCCCCACAACACCCAAAATTAGTATTTAAATCGCTTACATTTTCGTAAATGGTGGAAAAATATAAATCGAAAATAAAGTTAGAATATGATCCATTTATTAAAGTTGAATTAATTTGCTTCGAATTGATTAATTAAAGAAAATTCTTTAACTTGAAAAGAAATATCGAGATTAGCAATCATCCGTCTGGAAATCTATCTCACCTATTTCTTATCTGTAAAGAATATTTCCTCTCCGATTTAAAAACGTGAATCGAATATAAAATAAACATCG